AAAAAAACCAAAACACAAGTGGTGTGACATGGACATTCATGGCTTTCACTTAAAATTCATTTTTTGGTCTTGCTTTATGTATGGAATACTTTTTTTGGTGTCCAAAATTTTAAAAACAGTTAAATATTTAATTTAACTGTTTAAACAGTTTAATATTTAATTTAACTGTTTAAACAGTTTAATATTTAATTTAACTGTTTAAACAGTTTAATTTAAAAAACAGTTTAACAGGTAAAACATAAACATAAGATTAGTATTCAATTAATCCAAACTCAAAAGACACTAGAACAAAGTCACTACTCAATAAAGAATGCTGAGAAAACTGGATGGTTAAATATTTAAAAGTGGGCAAGGCATAGGGGTTAAATCTACATCTCATGTCATACACTGCAATCAACTATCAGGTAACAGCATTTAAAAAAATTTTTTTACTCCCCCTCTTCCCCTCCCCTTAACCCAACCCTCTGAAAGAAAGGAATACTCTATTTCAGAGACCTCTACCGTCACAACACTGCACTGGCTGTCTGCCATACCCAGACTGTTCTCACCTCCACTTTTCAGGATTCCTTTTGTCCTTCAACACTCTGTTTAAGGGCAAAATTTCTGATTAAGAACACTGCTAGTGTTCTCTCCAGTGAAAATATTTACCTGTCTTTATTTTGTATATACTTTATGTACTTATCTCCTCCAATAGCATGTTAGAACCTTGAGGAGAGGAACTGTTTCATTTTTGTCTTTGTATGGCCACTGCCCAACACAGTGCCTGACACACTTGTCAGGCACTGTCAGGATCTTGATGGACTGATGATTCACCCAACAAAAAGCAGTCATGCATTTAAGTGTCTACTAGATGAGGTATTACACAAAGCACTGGAGATACAAAGACAAAAGCAATCAATCAATACTTACTAGGCAAAATAAAGGAAAACCACCCCCCGCCTTAAGAAGATTACATTTCAATGGTGAAAACATCATGGGAGGCAGTGTGGCAGTGAAAAATGTACTGGATTTGGAGAGAGAAGACCTGGGTTTAAATCTCAGATCTGCCATTTACTAGTTGTGTGACTTACCTTGGACAAGTCCTAACTTCTGTGAGCCTCAGTTTCCTTATCTGCAAAATGAGGGGCCTTTAAAGGCACTTCCACTTCTAAATCTAATTTTGTGCACATATTTAAGTATATACAAAACTCACCTAAAGCAAATAAAGTTGGAGGAGAAAGCATTAACAGGTGGGAAGGACCAGGAAAGGCTTTACACAGAAGATGCTTGAAGGAAATCAGGGATTCAAAAAGCAAAGGTGAGGATGGTGAGAGATAGAAGATGATTGGAGTTGAGAAGAAAAGCAATTCAGGCATTTGATATTTAGGGAATATTGCAAAAGGCAATGTGGAATCACTGACAATCTTGAAACATAGTAACTATAGGGCCAGAATGATACTTAAAGAAGATTATTTGGAGTGCAGTAGGTAGAATTGCTTAAATGACACCAAAATCAAGGAAGTCAGTTAGCAAAGTTTTACACTAGTAGAAGAAGAAAGTAATGAGGACTCAACTAATGTACTGGCAGCAGGAAAAGAAATGAAATGATGAATGCAAATAGCTAAGAAAGAATAAAACCTCACTGACATGAATATCAAGGAACAAGGAAGAACCAAAATAGGATTCCAAGGTTTCAAAAGCCTTAATGAGTGATAGATTGGTATTAATGTATGAAGAAAACACTAAGCAGTAGAAAATGGGGGAAATACTGAACTCAGTTCTAGACAGAGTTGAATTTGAAGTGTGTGAGGGACATCAAATGGGAAAATATCCAGTGGTACAAAAGTTACGCAAGCCTGGAGGTCAGAAGAAGGACCAAGGCCAGAAGTATAAATCTGGAACTCATATAATTGGAGGTTATAGAGTCAGCAGAATCTAAAGAAATAAAGTTCCTAACCTCCTACTTAATGTAAGAAATACTGTAGAGATATAGAAATTGTTGTATTCTTCTCATCTCAACACTGCACAAGAAAAATAAGTAAAATAAATATATAACCTCATTTACTCATCCTCCAAAGCAGCAGCTGGATACTATAGCTGGTATCCAACCCTTCTAGTAAAATCTAGTTAACCTTACATTTTTTGAGGGGACAGTTCCTTAAAAGTTTTTCTTTCTGGCCATCCCCCCCCCCCCCAGCCTTTCTTCCTCCCTAAATGGTTTCAAATGTTTCCAATCACATACAACTGGTTGGGTAAGAAACATAACTAGAACTTAAATCCCTTGACTCCCAAGGCCAGTACTCTTTCCACACCATGCTAAATAGTCCACACTTTAAGACAGGAGATTCATGGAGCCAACAACAGTAACTAAGATTAGCTAATCCCCAACTGTATGTATTGTATAAACCTGGAAGAATTAAATAAGAACAAAACTGTTTCAATTACAGATGCATTAGAATGACATAGTCAATATCTACAAAGATGAAACACAATGGACACAATGTTCAGTTGCCTCAAAACAATCCTTTATTGAAGGGAAGAATGAGAGGAATATGTCAAAGAGTTTTCCTTACAGCTTAGTGCTGGTTTTTGGTAGGCTGATGATTTTCTTCTGATTGTTTTTAATGATCTGTTGAGTCCTCCTCTGCCTATCCTTTAATAACCTTCATAACATGACGCACTAAATATTTTCAAATTTGTCCTGATTAATCCTGCATACTTACTGCCCTAGTCAGTATGTCACCTCACTGTTCCACAGATATTTCATGAATATGCCAATGCTCCACGAAGTGGCTTAAGTTGTTCTTCCCATCTGGACCATTCTCCATCTTTCCATCCACTTATCTAATGTTTCCTCATCCTTCCATGTCTGGCTCATGTCCTACCTTGTGTTTTAGTAGAAAGAGCACTGTTGGCATCAAGAAACCCGACTTTGATGTCCTAGATCTGACATTTTCTGGCTATATGTAACTTTGGATAATCTTTGTGTCCTCATCTGTAAATTGAGGATAATAATACTTAAACCTCCCTCAGAGGATTACTGTGAGGATAAAAAAGAAGATAACTAAGAGATAATATATGTACACTCTAGCTATTACCTCTTCCACAAAATCTTTTCCAAACATTTCAATTGCCAAACTGGTCTACTCCTTTTTTAAAACATGTGACCTTCATAATCACAATTACATGATTTGGTACTTAATTGTTCCAGACATATTAGTTCTGTCCAAGTCAAAATGTAACAGGGCAAACACTATCTCTCATGTCTCAATTATGAATCCTCTGGGAACAGAGAGGCAGCTGCATGGTTCAGTGGACATGTGGGACTTGGAGTCAGGAAGAACTGAATTAGAATCCTTCCTTGAGACACTTACTGGCTGTGTAAACATAGGCAAGTCACTTAATCTCTCTGTGTCTCAGTTTTCTCATCAGAAGAACAGGGATAATAATAGCACTTACCTTGCAGGGTTGTTGTAAAGATCAAATGAAATATTTATTGTAAAAAAAAATGTTTCACACAGTCTTTAGAACATATTAGGTGCTAAATAAATGCTTATTCCAGCCCCCTCCCCTTTCCCCTAGGACTCCCAGCTAAGGATCATGAATTTAGAACGGGAAAGGACGTTAGCGGTTATCCAGTTAGACTAGATAGTCAAACTCCCTAAGTTGTACAGCTGAGAAAACCGTGAAGGACAGAGAAGGACTTGTTCAGGGTCCTTTAGGTAGCAGTGGCAGAGCCAGGATTGGAACCTCGGACCTCTGGCTCCAAATTTAGTACACTTTCCACTGTACTATGATGCATGAATTGACAATAAAACCAATAAGCTGACTTTTATAAAATATGTGACTTTTTCTAGAAATTTTCAGCAAGTCATACACAGGAATGGAGAAAAGAGACAACAGATTTCGCCCTTCCCCTAGTGTTAGAAAGGGGCACAGTGGGCATGACATTCAAGAAGACAAAAGATGAATTCTTAAATGGTAGTGTGACACTATTGATAAAACTCAGTCCAAAGTAGTCAAACTACAAGTAAAACTTCAAAGATGTCTGATGAACAAGGAGAAAAAAGAAGACAGTGTAGTGTAAGCTGGGTAAGAAAAAGTTTCAAGGTTAAGTTCTTTTGAATGTGACACCATTCAACATGACAAAGGTCTAAGGTAAAAACCTGCAGAGTAGGTGGAGTCTAGATAAAAGTCAGTAAAAGTAATGTCAAATAATTTTCAAAGGCAGAGCTGTTTGACTGGTCAACAATACCGATGTGCTGGAAGTCCTAAAGGTGACAGCAAAGACGAGACAGAAAGATCTGCAGGTAGATGCTTGTCAATCAAGAAGGTGAAACAGTATCTTGGATTTCAGTAAGCAATGACAATAAAAGGGAGGAGCTGGTATGGAAGCTCATGAGCCACAAATAAATGCATTATTATTCATTTTTGGTCAAAAACAGTATTATCCAAAGCTGACAACCCGACTCTATCAATGGACTTGAATTAATTCTAGATGTTCCCCCCAAACCAAATCTACCTTCAAAGGATGAAACAGCCCACTGACAACCCTGAGAAGAATGAAATATAAAGGATCCAAAAGCAATTCCAAACCTGGATCCAAAAGCAGTTCCAAAAATATTTTAAGTGATGGTAGCATTGTTTGAATAACTGACTTGCCTTTAAAAATGACAGATGTTTGACTTTATTCCAAACAAAGAAGTTAACATCATCACATTACAGTCACTACTATAAGTCTTGAGTCAATTTTCTTCCAACCAAACCCAAGAAGAACAAAAAATAATTTTGGCCCTGTGCTAGCCTCCTCTAATCTGATTGCTCTTACCAGTCAATTCTCATTTGAATGGTTACTAGATTGAAGATTATATTGGAGGACACTATGGTTTTTTATAAGTTTCTCAATCAACAGGTAACATGACTTTTACCATACAAGGAATAATAAACATAATTGTTTTCAGAAAACAAACCTACTGAAGTTCAGTGTTAACTAACAATTTACAAATATCAACTCATCTTACCTCATCATGTGATTTACATAGGCTTTACTACAGCTAGTGTTGTATCTGCATAAACTACAGTGGACATATGTAGGAAAATGGTTTGCAAAATCTTTTATTTCCGAATAACACTCAATGCACTTGTGAACTCCCCGACGATACCTTATGGGAACATAAAACAACAACAACAACAACAAAATGAAAATAACATTTTAAAACTAAAACAGCACGGGGCTCATATTAATATTTTAATTCTTTAAGCCAAAATACTCAAATGAACACTTTTATACAGAGACCAGAGACTTCTATTTTAGTGATATGCTTTGGAATAAGGATCCAGTAAAACTACAAAAATCTAATGGGTATAAAATTGAGAAGTATGAGTGACCGTATCACCTGGACTTGCAATATCAGTTAATGCTTCTTATATGAATAAGCAGGGAGGCAATAAGATTAACCAGTTGAGAATCAAGCAGGGTAAGATAAGTTTAGTACTAAAATATGGAAATTATAGATTAAACAGAACAATTCCAGTAGTGCACAGCAGTGAAAGGAGCACCTTTTTATTATCTGCTTGTTCTTCATGCCAAAAAAAGCGATCAGGCAGTGTCCTAGAGAGGTCTATCAAAACAGGGTGAATTTGAAAAAGAAACACAGAATTAAATTTTCATATGTAAGATCAAAACATTTTTGGAGATGACTTAATAAAAGACTGTTACCTTAAATTCCGCAATGCTGTATTGACTTTATTTCTTTTTGTGCCCCCAGGGCCTGGCTTCTTTTGCACATGGTATGTTTTTGATTTGGATTTGGATTTTGTTGCAGTAGTTCTTGTAGTGTTTTTTGCAGTGGTACTTTTTGCAGTGGTGTTTTTTGCAGCCGTACTTTTTGCTGTTGTATTTTTAGTCCTTGGAGGAGACAGTTGAAGGGTAGAAGTGCTTGCACTAATAGAAGGTGCAGTCGATGCTCCTGCCTGAAGAGGTCCAACTGAAGCTCGGATAGTGACCTAGAAAAATAAAGGCTACTGAAGTGTTTTGAAATTTTTAAGTGTTGTTATCAATATTAACACAATCATTCTTAAAATATCAAAGCAAATGAATATCCAGCAGGTTGAAAATATCAATCCCATAAGCGAAAAACAGAAAACAGACCTTTCACTTGTACTATATAAATCCATACTGTTTCAGTATCAATTTAATTTTACCTTAGTGTTCAAAATCATGAATAGATACTAATATTAGTTTAGAAGCAGAAATATAAAAAGAATGAGGAAAGAAACCACAGATCTTTATATTAAGGATCATGGAGTTTGAACAAAGTAACCTCTGTTTTTACATTTTTTAAGGAATTTTGTATAATTTTGATAACAACATGGAAGAAACCTTGTTGGAGAGAGGCCTTTAAAAAATGGTGTTTTGCTCTCCTGAATAAATGAGCAAACAATGAGATGTTTCTTTATATCTTCCAGAAATTATAATAAGAAAGTTGTAGTCCACTATGTAATGTCATTTGTGAAAGCTTGCCTATTCCCTTCTAATACTTTCATCAAGAACACTCCTAATGCTTGTATAGATTTGAATAAATCAGTGATTTCATTCGAGTAAGGTACTTCTGGTAAGAAAATTCTACCAATACTGAAATGTACATATCTTCTCTGAATCTGAGAGCCTTGGAGAATTTACTGTGGTACTAAGAGATTAAAGAGCCCTTTGCAGGGTCACACAGCCAGTATATGTGTCAGTAGTGGGCTGTGTACCTAGGATTTCCTGAATTTCTGAGCTTTTAACTCACTATGCCATGCTACCCTTCATGATATATTAATTTCATAAAAATCATACAAGTATGGGTGATACAAAGACAAAAATCAGACTATTCCATGCTCTCAAGGAGCTTACATCCAATTGCAAAAGCTAATGTTTTATTTAAAACTTACTTTTGTTCCAGGAGGCAATCCTTCCAATTGTTTAGGTTTTTTAAATGTTCGATGTTGAGTCTTATGATCCATTTTCTCTTTGCAAGTCAAAAATTGTAGTCGGCACTTTGTACAACGATATATTCCTTTTTTCTATTTTTTTAAAGGGTAAGAAATAAAAAATCTCTAATCAGGACTCTCATGTCTGGAAAATGCCCTAAATGACTTAATTTCAAAATAATCTGAATGGAATTTTTAAACCTTATATAGTTCATAAATGATCTTTTTTTATAAGTCCTTACAAATAGTATCAATGAATTGTAGAGATTTGACAACCTAAATTTAGTACTCATTTAAAATACTTTCACATGGATTAAAGATACTGAAGGTATACATTAAATTTTGGTGAGAAAAAATTATGAAAGTGAAACTGATGCTTATCTATAACTAAACAGGCTGTTTTAATATATAACGTCCAATAGGAGGGATGCCACATTTTTGCTGTAAAAAACTAAATTATGTTCATAATTTTATCCAATCTAATTTTATATATCAATAAAGTAAATTTTAAAAGGCATTAACAACAGTGGAATTTATGTATTTCTGGAGCCTATCTTAACAAAATAGAGCTCTTTGGAGGGTGACACACGTACAAATTCCAACTCAGTATTCTTAATTATTCTCATTAATTCTCTTATTAACCAAACTAATTTTGTTTCTTGTCTGACTTTCCCAATTACCTTTTACTCTTGCTTCTTTACTTCCACATTCAATTATTTGTTAAGACCTACAGTATCATGGCTATGATGAAAAAAGCATTTAATTTAGATCCAGAAGACCTAAGTTTCAATTCCTACTGCAACATCTTAGCTCTATCATTCTGGAAAAGAAATCACTTTAACCTCTCTGCGCCTCCTTTTCATCTGTAAAATGAGAATGTTGTACCAGATTATCTTATCTCCCAGAAGCTCTTTCAATCTTAATACCTGTGATCCCATAAACATTTTATTCCATTTCAAATACTTAATTTACACCTGAGTGGGCTACTAAAATAGCCTCTTAACAAATCTTGTTGCCTCCACTTGTATTTCTCCTTCTCATTGCTGCCAAATTAATCCTCCTTACACACAGATTAATTATGCCATCCCTATGTGGGAAAACTGTTCAAAGATTCCCTACTGTAAACTCCAAACTTCTTAACCTGTCATTAGAAGACCTTTAAAATCTTGCCCCAACCTTTCTTTCCAGTCTTGTTTCACACTAATCCCAACCTATAAACTAGCTGTTTTTAACGTGTGTGCGCGAGAAAGAGACACCCACACAGAACCCTTGGACACTCTGTTGAAGCTTACAGACTCCTTCTCAGAACATGTTTTTAAGTGTACATCATGAAACATATAGGTTCATAAAGGAAACCAATTATAATGAAGTAGTATGAAAATGTAACAAAATACACAAGTAAACAAAAATAAGATCAAAGAACACTAGGTTAAGAACCCTTGGGTTTAAAAGTTATATTCAAACCATAATATATCGCTGATCTTAATATATATTATGAACATGATCTGTTTTCTCATCTCTGTTTTCATGCACTACATTCCCTAACCAAGGAATACCTTCCCTCTCACCACATACACACTCACTCACCTGTTGAAATCTTATTCATCCTTTGAATTCAAAATGGTGTAAATATTCAAAAACTAAGAGAGTCATTAAAAATAGTTAACAAATGTTTAGATGTAATAGAACATAATTAAGGTGATGTTTTTCTAAGCTGGCCTTTCCTATTTTGTGACTAGAAGCTAGGTCCTCTTTGATGCTAAATCCAGTACTCTCTACTCTGGGCCATACTGCCTTTAATTTAAGAGGAGTTTTCCCACCAGTGATACTTCTCATTCACTAGGAATAAAGGGTCTTTTCTCCTTGATACCAAGTACATGAATTACAAACTGCCTCTGTTCTGATGAACCACCTCCATGCCTTTAACTGATTTCCTTCACTCCAACAACTGGATGGACTTCCCACACAAGGGTAGACCACCTACCAAAGAGAACGTGGTGACTAGCTATGGCCTATGAAACCTATTACACTAATGGTATAATTTCTTTTTTCAGTGATACCACATGGTATTCTCAAGTTCACCAGTCTCCCTAAATCCCAACATCTACATTTGATAGTGACAGATCAATGTTGGAGGAAAGCTTAATCTGAATAAACCGAAACTACTGTTTTCCACCCACTCTTCCCTTCAAAATAAGGGTCCCCAAACTGAGAAGCTGGGGGGATGGATTGGGGAGAGGGAGAAGGGTGGAGAAAGGAAGAAGTAGGTAGGTCTTGAGAAACCATTCCCAAAGATTTAGACAGAAATTCTGTTGGAATCAGCAGGAAAGGGGATGAAGAGGTAGAGATACTGTGCTGTGACTGATTCAGTCCAAAATCCAAAGGAAGGTAGCATTTTGGCCTTTGGTCACCAACTTCAGGAGAAAAAGGTATAGGCTAGTAGTGCTACAACATTCTTGGGGGGAGGGGGAGGGGGTAAGGGGGAGAAGAGGATGAGAGATTGGAAAGGGGAGAACAGGTATGTTGTTGTATGAAGTTTGTCTCTCCCACCTCTTCCTTGAGTCAATTATCAGTTCCTCTCCTCTACCTGCCCTCCCTCCCCTACTTCCTGCCTCCCTTCTCCCAAATATCCAATATGCATAAAGACCATGTCTGGGGACTCAGCCTTCCATTCAACCTTAGAAAACTTTACCATTTAATAGCATAACTAGATGGTAGCCTTGCATGGTAGTTGGATGTTAACTACTCATATTAACTGAGAATTTTACCTACATGTAACTCATTATTTAGACAAAGCTTCAATTTTGACCACTGTCCTGAGCATTATCTTGTATTTTAGTCAAGATGAGATTAATAAAAAAGAATGTTTACCAGCTTACCTGATGTTTCATATAATGATGCATGTATGGTGTTGCAAGTTTAATAACTTTGAGGCAAAATGGACAAAGCAAGTTCTTAGTATTTTCATGAGAAGTTCTAAAATGTGTTTCTACATCAGAAAATGATGATGATCTATAATTACACACCTAGAAATACAAAGAATACTCAACTTAACACTTAGATCTGACATAAAGTTAAAAATCAAATTATCAAAAATAGGTAACCAGCTTACAATAATAAAATAACATTAAAATGAGACTCATTATTCAACAAAACCCATTTTCTATTTTTGAAAGTGATGCTAAGGGACATTGTGAGTTGTTAAAAAAAAAAGGTTAGGAATAGTATAGCACAAAACTCTAGCTTCCCTTTAGTACTTGTTATATATGGATCATCCACAAATTCATCAAAACTGTTCTTTTCCTATTTTCAGTCTTCTTGACTTCATGTAAGCAATGCTATAATTTCACTATTATTTACTTTCTCTATTTGAAAGCTACATTCTAGGCATTTGATGAAGCAACTTCTCTTTATCTAGTATCACTTTGTCCTACAAAAAAAAAACTTCAAGATTTGAGGTGACAGACATTTGGTTTAGATATCTTATGACAATTGTCATTTCCTATTTCTCAATTAACAAGTTTTATTAAGAATCTACTATGCACAAGACACTATGCTAGTGAAATCACCTTTTCAACAAAGACTAACCATTAACAGATAATTTAATTTTTTCCTAAAGCTGTGAAAATTATGTTAACTAAGAAATACATAAATTTGTAACAGAATTTTCATGTACCTGACAAAAATATGGCATTTCACCAGGCTTATGATTGTCCTTCATATGTTGTAAAAGAACTTGCTCTGTTTCAAATGATAACTCACAGATTTTACAAATAGCTAAAAGAGAAAAAAAGTATTGAAGATATAATACTCATATTTTAAAAAAAATTCTACACATAATTTATTTGTATTAATCCTCTAAAAAGTACAAATGACATCATTTTTTAAATTTACCTAAAATATCTGTAAGTTGTGGAACCTTATTTCTTATTTAGTTGGCCTCAATGCTAATTGTTCAGGCTCACACACAAACACAGACACAGACACACAAGCTAGCTCTGGCAAGGGAACTTCCACTTCGTGGAATTTACTGAAATAGGACTCCCTTTCTTATAGATAATTCATAACAAAAACCTGCCAACAGTCAATTATGCCTTGAAATTCAATTCTGTTATATATTCTAATTTTTCTAAAAAGATATTTGCTTCATTTTGCCTCCCCATTTCAGAATATCAAACCAAATGACATACAGTGCTTAAATGAAAATGTAACTTACTAGAAAACTCATGGGGGGTATGTGTACTTTCAATGTGACATTGCAGCTGGAAAGGTGTGGGAAATTGACGATAGCAATGTTGGCAAGTCGTGTGGTTTTCCCAGCTTTCGCTGCTCTGTTTCTCAAGTTCCAAATGGTGTTTCATGTGGTTCATAAACCTATAAGTGATTGTCAATAGGTGCAAGATTGTAGTTTAAAAAAAAAAAAAAAAAGAAACACTCCTCACAAATTAATGTATTAATGTGTAAGGCTATTTCCTGAAAATGTGCTTGCATTATTATTTAAATCTCAGTATGCTTAAAAAAATTAAAGTGATATTGATTTTATATCTTATTATGGAATGGTTTCAATCATTTTCAAAAGCACCAGTTTATTTTTTTCTCCATTAAATTGTTTTAATCTACAAATTTGTTTATTATTTGGATAATTTGACTTTTAAAATATTACCTACAAGTTTTACTCAATATTTTTAAGTTAAGCTTTAAAAAAATCTTTAATGCATTATACTGAAAGTGAAGAGGATAAAAAATTGGGAAAATAGTAGTCTTTTAGTACAAATAAAATACTGTTTACATTTAAAAAATAAAATATTGAAAGGAAGGAAACCCTACCCACCACTACCAGTTATAAAAGCCATGAGAACAAACAGTCTGAAGATCCCGACAGTATGCAATATATATATCAGTTACTTAAAAGACAAAGTACTAGTATTTTCACTTGTGTCTTTGTTTCTAAGTGCACATAATAGCAATTTTAATGCCTGCAATTATAAGAACCTTTTGTTTTATTTAATGACACTGGTTTAACGTTAGCACAGACTCTTCATTTTAACTTGCGGACGGTGCCCCTTGTAAAAGCATCACCCATTTTTCAGTTTTACATTTTGCTCTATCAGCTCCCCTAAAAGGCTTCTTAGGAAAAAGAACTATGACCTTCTCAGCCAAAAAGAGACTAGATACAAATGGGAATACCTAATAAAACAGCTTACTGAAGCTTTTTCCCCTCTACACTTGAAACTAAGACTACTCAATCAGAACAACAATTCTTGGATTATGTAAACTATCAACAATTATTCCTGTGAATCCCTAAAGGGAGCTGTTCTGAAACTATGTGATAATGTTATCAGTCTGGATGATAAACAGTAATGAAAGCAGTAATAATTTGCTCTTTTTGCACCTCAGTGGCATAACCCTTTTTTAGAGGGTTGGGAGTACAGTGTTCACTAAATGTGAGGCTTACATTTTCTAATTAATACCTAAAGTCCTTTGCAAATATAAGTGCTATTCTAAACTAGATATCTGTGTATAATGTAAAACAATTTTATTTAGAGAAATTAGCTAGTAAACAAATCGCCAATTCTCCCTTCTAAGAATGTAAGAAAAACATATCCGTATAAAATAATTTCTTACCTATTGGCTGTCTCCAAGTTGTCATGACAGTTGACATCAGTGGATTTAACTCCTCCTACCAGTAGGAGACAGGAAAAAGCAAAGCTCCTGCAACACTGCTCTCCCAGGGAGGGGAATGGGTATCTGAGCTTTCTTAATTAAAGCTGAATAAGATAGTCCTGACTGTTTTTGGTGGCCACTCAAATGGTGGGCACGAAACCTCAGACTAAAGTCATGTCTGGACAGAAAAAGGAGGCCTCATAGTGCCATTTTTTCAAACAATACAACTCAACTTTTAAGGGCCAGCCTACACAAGTAACCATCAAGAGAAGTCTAAAACAGGTAACTAAACAGAAGAGGAACTAAGTAAATTTTAAAAAAAAGTTCACAGGATCATGGGTGTACAGCTGGACGGGCACTGGAGATTATGGAGTCAAATCCCTTTATCTGATTAATGAGGAAAATGAGGTCCAATGAAGAAAAGAGACTTGTCCAAGATCATAAAGGTAACAAGTGGTGGGGTTGAAACTTAAGCCCAGACACTTAATTTCAAAGCCAGCACACTTTTCATTAAGGCTAACAGGCCTGTGTTCACTTTTGAGATATATGAAATAAAACTTGAATTACTAGCCTATGCCACTTTCCCCTCAAAATACAACTAAATCAAGCAGTCTCTCTACGTGAAGCTTTCCCGATCCTCTCAACTGGAGGCACCTTGTCTCTTAAATTTAATATTTATTCTCTATATGTTTATTATTTGTGTACTTACACTCTTTTCTGCCCTGCTAGGATATCAGCTCCTTGAAAGTAGCGGTTCTTCATTTACTATACTTAAGATCGCTAGTTCCTGACATGAAGCAAGAACTTAATAAGTGTCTGTTATACCTCTCCCCACCCTTCCATCCAGCCACTTCTAAAGAAATGGGAGGATCCATGGGTGAAGAACATTTCATATATTGTTCTTTTTTCCTTTTTTTAAAGTAGTGATTGGTTTTGCTGAGTTTTTTTTCTTTTTTAAATTATTTATTCATAAGGGATGGCACTCTGAGAGGGGATTAAAGGAAGGAATATAATGAATATTTTTAAAAAAATTTTTTCTGAATTTTTGAAAAATGGAGTTCTCATTTTCTGTGGTCTATTAAGTACCAAATAGGCTAATCTTGCTATGTTAAAGGGAATGGACAAAGATGGAAAGGATTTTTTTTAAAAAATCGTTGTTAAAAGGAAAATGTACAAGTGGTTAGACTATCTCTAACTTCTAAAACAAGTTAGGCCTATATTAGAAATTAAATTAGTCACAGTTTTTCTGTTGATTTGATATATTTACTTGTTCTTTTTTCACTAAGGTATCTTAATAATAAAATGCAAAAGTGGGGGCAAATTGAAGAAATAGGACCAAGTCATATTATAAAAAGTTTCTGGGCTATAGCTCAAAACAAAATTTCAGCTATGGTTATTAGCGATCAAAGAAATATGACTCTGATGGCCTGATAAGAACAGTTAACACGTGTGGATATCAAATAGCATATGTGTGCAAATGCTGTGAAAAATATGAGATACTATACAAATAAAGAGGTAGAATTACCAACATCCCTGGGAAACTTTATCCGTGAATTTATTTTTATATCAAACAGGATTTTATTAAAGTGTGCAGGGGAAGAGGAAGAAGTAGTATAGTACAGGATAAATAATGTCCCAGAGGTATTTTTCAGGCAGTGAAGAATGCTAATTACTATTAGTAATCAAGTAGTATATATGTGTCCTTAGATAAATATTAAATTATCTCCAAAAACTGTGTTGGAAAGCTAATCAAAATATCAAATGACAGTGATAACAAATGATTTTCTGATAATTTACCTCAGACTTACATAAAAACTCTCTCAGTATTTTTGAAAAACATTCTAATTTTTACAGGAAAAAAAAAATAATTTCAGGAAATTCACCTGGGCACACCAAAATACTAAACTGACTTTCTCTGCTTATCTGAGAAATCTACTTTGTGTGTATGGTTTTCAAAAAATATACCTGCTGACAAATAGTGGCCTATCACACAAAAACTGCAATATATTATATTTTACATATTTTTAGATTTTAGTCTGTCCAATTGATCAAACTAGGTCAAATGCATCACATGTGAGAGTTCAGTACTGCAGAATACTGAAGGGGACAACTGCCTGTATTGTTAGAACGCAAGATGAGAAGGTGGGATGACTCCATTCTTTGTATTTTTATCTTCACTATCTAGAATAGCCTACCATAAAGTAGGTACTCAATAAATGTGCAAAATGATGTGTTCATAAGGATTTTCACAGCTAAAATTTGAACTATTATCTTAGGTATTTTGCATTGGTACACAACCATGCTACTTTTCTGAATTATAAGGAAAAAACCATACACAACCCCTCCACTCCCATGTACCAGGACTACCTTTGCCACCTCCGAGCCACACAACCTTGAGCAAGCCACTTACTTCTGGGAACCTCTGTTTCCTCATGTGAGAAATAGGAATATTAATAGTAATAGCTAGGTTCTAATAATATTTTACTTTTGCACTACACTTTATAGAGAGGCAGTATGGTACAGTGGCTAGAGCCAGTCTGGAAACCAGGAAAATCAATCTGGGTTCTAGCCTTGACTGTAAGACTTCCTGGCAAAAAATTCCAATGTTTAACTTCTCCATAATCTAGGCAACTCTCTAAAACCCTCTCCTGCAGAGAACGTGCTGCATTGGTAGTAAATTTCTTCACCAGAGTTCCCTAAATCAGTGTAATTATAGATCTAGTCCTTATTAATCCCTGCCTGCTCTGCAGAATTAGAGAGAAAAACAAATTGAGACATTAGATATGGAAGCGCTTTAGGAAACTGTTAAGTGGAATTCAAGGGGTGGAAGTCAGGAATTTCTGTTCATTGGCATAGTGAGCTCCCTGTGATGAAACCCTCTCTCTCAACACAGATAAGCAACTCTTCTTCAACTTATACTCCTAGAGAGTTGTATGGGGGAACTAATGACTTCCACAGGGTCACGAAGTCAGCAGGTCTAAGAGGCTATGGCTATACTTAAACCAAAGTCTTCCTGACTGGCCCTCTAGCCACTAAGTAATGATGCCTCTCTAATGTTTGGCAGAAATATAAAATATTATTTTAAGAACCTACAGTCTGAAAAATTTAAAGTCATATGTCCTGCTTTTCATTCTAGATTTAAAAAAAAATTCTACCAGTTAATTTTGACTCCATTTTAACTTATGAATTTGATAAGATAAATAAGTTTAATTAGGCAAATTAAGGCTTTAGTGGGTCCTTCTTTCTTCCATATCCAGGCTGTACTAAATACATACTTTTCATTTTGTTTTTTTATGATTAAGCAAAATATTATTTCAACATCCCATTTATAACTAATTTCTAAAATGAGAACATAAGTAAATAGTTAGGAAAGTCATTCTAATTATGCTTTGACACTAGAATTTAATCAACAAACATTTATTAAATGTCTACTTTGTGCAAGATATCATGCTGGGGGGCACTGGGAATATATAATAATAAAAATTATAATATCTGACATCGAATAACTATCATATAATAACAATCTAAATAACTCATTGTTCTTCCAGTTAGCATCACAAGTCATTACCCTTAATATGACTATCCATGTCCAGATGAAGAAATAAGGCTATTAAGTTAAGAAACCTTGTTAAGTTTCCCCATCTATTTGAAAGGTAGTGTGTTTTTCCCCCCAGTGGAGTACAGTCTGAAAAACAAAGCAACCTGGCTAAAGTTCTATATGAAGCAAAAGAAAACCCTATTCTTTTTACAAAAAATTTATAATAGACTAGTAAGAATGATGAACTAAATATGATATTTATCTTAAAATCTCTCACAGAAAGAGAAACTGCTCTGGATGGCAAAAGCACTACAAAATTCTGAGGGTAAAAAGAAGATCAAAGACTTCTGTGGGAAAACCAAACGGACAATCTACATGAAATTAAGGAAATTAAGTTCCAAAGACAGCTACAAAAAAGCTTTGTGAAAGTTATTAGAATAAACTGATTGATAGACAACACTGGAAAAGGAGTTATGTTTTCTCTAAATTAAAGTAGATTTTGCCTTTCATGATGTGTCTAAGGAAAAAGAGTGGAGTGGACTGGTTCAGCTGTCCAAGTTCCTGAACTGCAGGAACATGAAAACAAAGGGGTTTTGGGGCAAAAGTTGCTGTTTTTATTACCTAGTAGGAAGTGTTAAACCCACTTGTCTAAAATGGCACAAGACAATGCTGGCAAAAGAGACTTCAATTAGAAATGTCTTACAGTCATGTAGTAGTATTACGATTTTTCTAATGGTTATACAAGTGTTTACATACCTGATGTTATTTTTAAGTATTTTCAGGCAACTGAAGCATTTAAAGGTTGTATGAGTCTTCTGTTCTTGTAGGTTATCACCTTCATGTTTCCCATAATAAAAGTCATTAACTAACATAATCAGTTTTCCTTTATCAGCATCAGCGATCTTATTTTTACTTGCTGCACTTGAAAATTCAGTTTTATTAGATCCCCAAAAGAAGTTATTTACCCTCTCTGGACAACAATACTAAAAGAAAAACACAAAAGTCTTAATTACTTTTGAAAAATTAATCAGCAAGAGACAATAATTCACCTAAACCTGAGTCTAGAACTATCCTTATATGGCACAAAGCATAGTTTGGGGGTTTTAACTCTTTGGATAAAGGCAATATTTCTGTGCCCTAAAAAACAATGAGGTATATATTTGCATGGCATTATATAATTTACAAAAGTAATGTAGTTTTGAATATTCTACTATGTAAATCAGATTTCAAAAATATCTCATGTATTTAAATAAATCCTTCATTTCTAACCTTCATTATTAGTATTCTAATAATGCTTCCACATCAAAAAGATATTTATCATTCCGACTCACAGTCACTTCAACACATCATTCTCAACGATATAAATATTAAATACAAATTTTTTTTTGAGTTATGGTATCAATAATGAATTAGCATTAAAGTGTTCTAAAAATATTTCTGAAGACATGAAAGAAAAGAGGTGGGTCAATCATATAAATAAGAGTGAAAGCCAGCACTGGTAATGGGACCCTTAAGGTATTAAAACAATAAGAGTAAAGCTTTTATTATATTAGGTAGATCCTCTAGGGAGGGTTTATGTTAAAAATATGCACAAGAACTGTCCAAGATAAGAAGCCAAAGAAAGATTTCAATCTGTATCTGCATCAGTAAAGCAAATACTACATCAACAAAATCACAGATCTAAGAAATCGTCCATAAAAACGCCAATCAAATGCAGTTTTCCATCAGAGTGAAATGTTCAATTTAACTAAATATTCTGATTAATAACAGAGAATTTCCATAAATGCCACTCATATTCTGGAAAATTAAAATATAGTAACACACACAACATTCATTTAGAATGTAGAATCACTTAGAACAATGACACTGCATCTCTTTGATGAGTCAGATGCCTCTTCATCATGATTACAAATATCTATTATCATGTACCTTAAACGATCAGAACAGTCAATTAAAGTATTTAGAGTTGATACGGATAAAACCAATTCTCATCATACAAAACAATATACATAACAAAAATTCAGAGATTTGAAGATTATTTCAAAATTATTGTCCCATAAAAAGTTTACCTTCATGTGATTTTTTAAAGGATCCAACAGATTAAAATGAATGTTACACTTTGGACAAGCTCTTGGGAAAGGTGGTCCATTTTTAGTAGAAGTAATTGTACCTAAAATGTATTAAATATATTTAGTCTCCAAATTTATCATTTTTATGTCTCAAAAATCGAATATGAAAATACGAAAAATATATTTAAAGTTGCCATACAGTTTAAAAAATACATAATTTAGCCATCCTTTTTACTTCTTTAAAATTTCTATTTTTTCCTACTATTTTAATAGCAATCATAGCTCACTCCACTTTACCTTTTGAAGGTGAAGTCTGTGATGGTGACTTTACCAAAGAGAACGGGGATGAGGGATGGGTTCCAGCGATACCTTCATTGGACTTAGGCTTCTTTGAAGTAATACTGTTTACTTCAGAAGTAGAGAGACGTTTCGTTACAAAGGAACTTTCATTCAGACCTATGATGATTTCAAGGTTAAAAAAAATAATTGTTTTGGTATTATATACTAACATACATAAATATACATATGCACATTCTAATATGTAATATACTAATCATTACTAAAAAATTTCTTTAGAATGGTTATAATTAACTATCAAAAATCAATGAGACACAACTCTAGAGGAAAATACAATGGCTCTTTAAAAATACTCATTTTCTAATAACTCACGAAATGATGCTATTTCCACAAGAAAACTCTTACCTGATTTTACCTAGGATGGGGAGCAAGTCAGAGCACATTATTTGCAAATCAGAGAGAAAAAGCGAAAGCTTTGAAAAAATATAACATGTTCAGGGGCCAAGTTTTCACCAGTGCTTTTGCAAAGTTCAGGAAGCTAAGTGCCCTGCTTTGGACTTAACACAATTAGTTTAATTTGTTTCTAAAATTTTAAAAGGTCTTTAAAATGTGTGAAAGCTCACCTTCATAAACCTAAAAAAGCCATATGATAAAGCAATTTCAGGCGAATTCCTTTACAATGGACAACTGCACAACAAATGAGGCAGAAGCAACATTCCAAAGTATATTCTACTGTACATTAAAAATTTTCAATTTATTGCTTTGCACAAACAAAAAGCTGTCATTGCTCAAGTATCATAGAAAGCATTATAAAATCAGAATTGGAAGGGGTCTTAGAAGTTATCTATTCAAAAGGGTTTACAAGATTTCCAAGCTGGAAGGGGCCTTGGGGCTGAGCTAGCCATACTCCCTCATTTTTATAGAAGAGGAAAACAAGACATGAGAAATTAAATGCCTTGCCCAAGGTCAGATAGGAAGTTTAGAGAGCAGAGCCTGGTTAAGAATTGATTTCCTTGCTCCCAGTTCAGTGTTCTTTCCAATAAAATGCACTGCCCTCAATGGAAGGAATATTATGAGATACCACCCAACTACGTGAAAATGGTTTTTATCCAAGTTTTGGAAAGCAGATTGAGGTATCTATAAAAGTCATAAAATGAACTGAATTGGGGATACCTAGGCTCTACCCATAGCATACCACTGGAGTGTGTTTGACCTTAGAAAATTCATTTCTGTTCCACAGCAGTATATAAAAAGAAATACTATCGTCCTATACTAAATTACAATTTAGTACTAAATTACAATTAATTGTAATTAATTGTAAACTAATTACAATTGCTTTATATACTCCTTTGAGTATTTTGTGACAAATTAACATGAAATAATAGACTTAATATAAAAATTAACTCATTTGCTGCCTATTTAAAAATCTTAATTGCATATCCTTATGCATTCTAATAATTCAAACATGAATAAATCACCAATATTTTTTCAATAGCTTAGTTTTCTTGAATAAAATTAAAATAGCAGATTTGCCTGTCAACTTTTCCATACAGGTTACATGTGCAATTATGGCAGGAAAAATAACATCATTAAGCTGCTTCTCTCTTTAGTCAAAATCTGTATTTGTCAATTGATGATTTTTTTTTCTTTTTTCCTTCTTTAAAAAACACAAAGACTGATACTGGAACTGATATGTGCACATGGGCTGACAGCTGAGGTATCTGTGCATTTTTAAGCAATGGCTTTTGTGCAATCACTACATTAATGTTCTTCTGAACTGAAGTTACTTGATCAAAAAACTTATGAGCACAAGTGGGTGCTGTTCTTGTAGTTGCAGCAACTGGATGTATTTGTGCAATTGGCTGGACAGGTTGGACAGATTGAGTAGAATCTCCTGTTTCAATACAGAAATTTTAAAAGCACTAAAAAAACCCTCCAAAGGAACATACATGAAATTCACTATTAATTTAATTCAGTCCCTTAAGCCTTTGTGTCTCCCTACCGATAAACATACTCTCCCCTTTACCTTTATACGTACTATTCCCCACACTACTATCCAACTTTGAGGGGAACAACCTCCTCCATAAACCCTTCTTTGGTCAGCCTAGGCAGAAGTTCTCTCTTGGGAACTTCTGCAACAATTACTGTGTGCAACTTACTTAACAATTGTAACATAATTATCAATTTACAGTTTATCTCAGCAGATTATAACTTCCTTCAAAGCAGGTACTATTTTTTGTGTTTTCCACAGATCCTACAGCATAGAGCCTTGTATGGAGGAGGTGCTCAATGAATGAATAGAAAAGAATTTCAAAAATTAAGATGTTACTATAACAAGAAACAGTGAGTGACATCCTAAGTACAAGTTAATAACTTTGAGAGGGAAATTATTTCAGGCCACTATTATACCTTTTTGGTGGATGAATGCCCTAAAGCATGAAAAGCAGAAACCCCTAATTATCTGTGTCACAGTTTCCTTGGGAAAAGTTCAAGTTTGGTATGATCCAGATGATTGAGGGTATTCACTGCTTTCTCTGCATCACAGAAACCTGTTATAAACTACGGGTGCCAAAGCACTCATACCACAAAACATTTAAGTATCTGGAAACATTCATACTTACTAATGTAAAATTCCTTACTATTTGAGAAGACAGTCATTCCAACTTCTACTTGAAGTAAAGTCCTTTCTACAACATACCTGTCAATTGGTCATCCATCTTTTGCTTGAAGACTTCCTGTGAGCATCAACTCCCTAGCTCCTGTGGTAGCTAATTTTTTTTTAGATAGTCTCAATTATAAGGATTTTTTTTTTCTTGTATCAAACCTCAATTTGCCTCCTGGCAACTACCTAGCTGCTACACTTTTTGTGATGAAAAGAACTATGGTACATAGGAATACTCCCTGACGAGCATTCCCTTTGACTTAGAGATAGCTTCTAACCTAGAGCTGCTTGCTACCAAGAGGGATATAGCTTATTTTAAGTAGGACCATTTGGCATGGCTCCCAGATACTACCTTCTGTCTCACTAATCTTTGCTACTTCCTTTTAGCTGGCCCAAGTCTCTTTCTTTAGCCAAAAAAGTCCACTGTTTGGGCAATTTAGAGCTAAGAGGTCTCAATTACCCCTTTCATCATCTTTTTAAATAAGAAACTATTATAATTATAAATTATTATAACTAACTTTCTCCTATCATCCCTCATTCTCCATTTTCCCTAGGCTAATGGCCAGGTTTAAGAAAGACATTTTCTATATGGTTGGAGTTGGGAGATACATACATAGTGACATCAAGATCTTGATACACACTATACTCTGATTTTTGATTCCCTGTAAGCGTTCCTCTCTATTTGCAGGAATCATTTTATTCAACAAATGTTTTATTAAGTCCCTATCTGATGCACTGAGGTTGGTTTAAAAAAAAAAAAAAGCTCAATTCAAACATTTATTAAGTATCTTCTATATGCTGGGCACTGGGTACATAATAAAACACCAAGAAGGAAAAACATTGCTTACCCCAAAGAACTTACATTTAATGGATAAAACATATAAATAAATATAATACAATCTGAAAAGGAAGAGAATGTTACCTAGGGGGAATAGGTAAAGCTCCCTAGAGGAATCTTGAAGAAAGCTAATGATTCTGAGAGACAAAGATGAGAATTCTAAACACATGGGAAAGCTTATGCAAAGGTACTGAAATAGGAGGATGCCAAGTTTGGGGAATAGCAAGGTGGCCAGTTTTGCTGGAGAGTTTATAAAGGTGGGTAATGTGAAATGTCTGGAAAAAGTGGCTACGGCAAGACTGTGGAGGGCTTTAAACACCAAGCAGAAGAATGTGTAATACACCCTGGAGGCAATAGGAAGCCACTGAAATTTCTTGAACAGGACAGCAACATGATCAGCCAAGTGCTTTAGGAAGATTGCTTTGACAACCATTGAAGAAATGCTGGAGGAGAGTGCCCTCGAAGGAGGTTAGATGAATTAGGAGGCTACTGAAACAGTGAGAGCAGGTCAATGCCAGAACCAGAAAGGTGGCCATATGAGGACAAAGAAGGGGACAAATGGGAGAGAGTTTACAAATTAGTGGGGATAATTAGAAAACAGTTCATTGTTTAAGGGGGAGAAAATGTAAGCTGCTTTATTGTTGTAAATTATTTTTGACCCTTTAATGCACTTCCCATTCTTGGCCTGATGAGGCAATTTCTCTAATTATCCAGGTGCTTGAAATAGCTAGTTTTGGTAGTTACTTTGGAGTTACTTATTTATTCTTTAAAATTTAGCTCAACTTATCCTACTTTGTTAAACCAGCAGATGATAAAAATTAGTAGGATTTCTTTTGGTAAAAATTCACCCTGGAAAGACTAATATGAAATGATGCATTTAAGTGAGCAGAAATAGGAGAACAATTTATATAACAACAATACTACAAAAACAAACAACTTTAAAAGACTTAAAGACATGTGATGAATGCAATTACCAAATATGATTCAAGAGGACTAATTATGATCTAGGTACCCACCTCCTTGATGAACTCAAGAAGAAGAATGAGAAAAAAACTTTTGGACATGGTCAATGTGGGAATTTGCTGTGCTTAATGATGTATATTTGTTACAAGAGTTTTTTTTTTCTTTTAAAAGGGTGGGGAAATGTTGGTTCTTAACTGAAAAAGAAAATTTAAGAAAAAAAAGAACAGAAACTAGAAGATTCTTTTTCTACTCCCTTTAGTCTATATGGAGCCCAAGCAAAAGGATGAAAGCATATCACCTGAATATAAACACCAAGTTAAGGCGAAGACTTGCTGCTTCAAAATAAAAGAATGTTTGAAATCCTACTAAATTTTCCTTCTTTCACTCAGACAAATATGATAAATCATAATAATGATAAATAATAACATATAAACCGATGCAGAGTGAAACAAGCAGAGCCAAGAAAATTTGTATGACCATAACAATGTAAATGAAAAGAACAGCAACCACCAAAAAAAAAAATCCTAAGTGCATGCTGCCAATCTTTCAAATTGAAAGAGGACATGTAGTCAGGAGACCTGGCTTCGAATTACTGTACTTACTAGCTATGTGACCCAGGACAAGTTACATAATCTCTAATACTGAACATCTTTATCTGCAAAATGAAGACAAAAATATCTATCAGAGGGTTGTTGCCAACAAAGTTCTTTGTAAACCATAAGGCACTATAGTGTGAATTATAATGACCATCATTTCTAATTGAATAAAAAAGGTGAATTTGGAGGGACTTTGAACATATTTAATTCATTTTGAAGTAACAAGTCACATCTCTGATTTTATTTTTTTATCCTTGGTTCCTATTTTGCTTTTCTTCATCATCATATATGTACATTTACAGATAAAGGTAAGTATAGTTTGTTTACTAACAGTGGCCAGAAGTGCTTTAATTTTCATTCTTACTAGGCTCTTTAATGAAGTCAGGTTTGAGGCAAAGAAAAGGCCAGAGGATGAAGAAGGTCAGATAACATATAGGGAATCCCTTTAGAAATCGCTCTAAGTAAAAACATTTAAAGCTGAAACTTCTATTCCAAAATGAAATGCCCATTTTATTCAACATAATCCTTCAAAGAGATAGCTAAATTGAACTATTCCCCCAATGCACATTTCTTTAGTCAAAAACTTGAATGTACTTCAGTATTTCTTTAGATTCTCATATTTTTCTGTACTATAGTGACTAATTTTTAAAATCTTTATAAAGAAATAGAGTTAGCAGTATGTCTTCCTGAATTGACTTGTGATATACCAAAATATTTATAGTGAAACTTTTTGTGGGGCCAAGGAATTCGAAACAAAGTCTACTGATCGGGGCTAAACAAATTGTGGTACATCAATGTCATGTTGTACTCAATCATGAATATAGTAAAATGTGTAGACTTAAATGAACTGATGCAGAGTAAGGCAAGCAGAGCCAAGAAAATATACATGACTACAACGATGTAAATGAAAAGAACAGCAACTACCAAAAAAAATCACAAGTGCATGTTGCAAAATTACAAAGAATAAGACCCCAAAGAAACTATGAGAAAACACCTTCCTCCTTCCTCCACCCCCATAAGCAACTGAGACATTTTTTAGGTCTTGTGTTTGAGTTTTACAGTTTCTTCCAATTTCCTCTCTTAACTTTCTGCTGTCATTTCTTGCAATTATCCCTACTTCTGCCTCTAAGATCAGTACCTGTCCTTTCTAAACTATGAGGATGTAATTAAGTTCCCAGTCCCTGGAGGTTTCAAATAGAAGCTGAGTGATGGAGAGGGGATTCACGTTATGGATTGAATGGAATAACCTCTAAGATTCCTTCTAGTTCTAAGATTTCATGGTCTATTGTTCCACTCTGAGCATCATCACTGAGTTAACTAAATACCAAATTGTGTGTCCCACTTCTTATTTCATTAAGTACTTAAGTAGATTTAAAACATTTCAACTCGCTAGAAGATAAGTTCTAACTACAGGAGAATGAAGATCACTTTTGGCAGGTGATATAAAAAATAATTCAGTTCTAGGTCTGCCTCAGCTACTATCTATCTGGGCTTCAGTTTCCTCATCGACAGAATCAAGGATTGGAAGAAATGGTCTGAGGTACACTTCAGATTTATCTTTGAATTTAAGATCTCATCATCCTAAAGGAACATGCTCATCTCCACCTTCTCCCCTCTGCTCTCACTTCTGCCTATGCAAATCTCCCAACACAGTAATGGTCATTTAAGAATTTCTGAGCAGGGAGATGACTCAATGAAAGTCTTTTGGTCCAGTATCCAAATAAAAGATGGCTTGGAGAACAGACAAGGAGAGAAAAATTTAGGAGATACTTCTATATACACTTATCCTTAGAAGAGAAAATTAGGAAAACTTAGATTAAGTTACCAGAATAATGTCTTGGCCTACTGAGAAAAGAGAGATAAATCTTCCATGACCAAAATAGCAAAAATTTGTGATAATCTTTCTATTTCAATTTCCTGACGTGTTTTAAAAGCAAATTTATTCACAGTAAGATCTCTATTAATGAAGATGATGGATTCTAACAAGCACTTTGAGTTTAGAATCTTCATTAGAAGAGGCAAAAATAACAAACAGAATATGCAGTAATATTTCAAGACATCAGAAAAAAAGATAGATATGAAATGTAATAAAATACTAACTAAAATAGCAATGTCAGAAATTATCTCTAAAATCCTGTCAAAGGTGACAAAAGAGGGATGCAGTCAAAATACTCCAGGAAAATTTGAAAAGGGAGAGATCACTTTCAGTTCGAAACACAAAGGAAAGCATGAAGAGTTGGTACCTGAGATGGCCCTTAGAGAAAACTTTTAATAGGTACAGACCAGAAGAAAAGAAAGGAGGGGATATGGAGATGACCAAAGGCAATTAAATGCCTGAAGGTGGAGGAGTACATTATGTAATCAATAAATGATGGTAGTACAATTTGGCTGCAAGATGTGTGAAGAAGAGTAATGTGAAAAAAAGCTGGAAAATTAAATGCTAGGCTAAGAAGTGTATACTATACTCTACAGAGAGCAGGATGGCACTGAAGGTTTTGAGCAAGAGAGGGGCATGGTCAGATCTGTGCATTAATCATAAATAATATATCTGAATGCATGGTCACAAATTTTATGATAGATTTTGACCACACTACAAAACAATTCAAAATCCTTATGTATGAGTTTCTTATAATCTTACCTTTAAAACTGTGTATGACAGAATCACAAATATGTTAGAGCAATTGCCTTCAAATGGAAAATGTTTCATTAATAAATGAAAATTACCAAATGAAATCATGGACCCAAGAAATGCAGTCATCCAGGAATGACAATTTTATGGAAAACTCTAAAAAATCCCTTGAAAGTTATCATTTAACAAAGAAATTAGTTAATATGGCATCAAGGCTGTCTATGTGCATGACATGGCCAAAGTATAGTTCTAAGAACTATAGCTTTTGAGCAAACCAATTAGTGAGGTTGACTTACATGTTGATAAAACTGGAGGGATTTCTATGAGTCTTTGATAATTGTACTAATGGATACGATGACTGGCTTGATTTTTACAAAAGTCCAAGTAGTTCTTAATATAGTTTTTCCACTACATACATAGAGACTGTTCTTTTTTATGTCACATTTACAAAATTGAAGCCCTTGATCTAAATAAACTGAAATTAATTTTAGGAGCTGCAAAAAAAAAAAAAAATTAAGTAATTCTGCAATGCCGTTTTTTTTTCATATCCATCTGATTTGTCTATCACAACTGGTGAATTAAAAAACAAAAACACACAAAAAACACTATACTTCTAAACCAATGAAGCAAGAAAAACTAAATTATTACACTGTTTGTGGAAGTGAGCTTTGGCAAGGATTCACATTCACCTTTATTGATATTAACCAAATAAAAGATTACTTAGCTTGAAAGCCTCTGCTTTCACAAAAAACATCTTTAGTAGGAATGAGAAAAACTTTAAGCAAAAGTTTTACCACAAATACATTAAATACTTTAGATTAGAAATAACATATTTTAACAAGGTTTTAAAAAAGTCCAGTCAATAAAAATGTACTGTAGTCACAGTAACTGGGTTCAAGACACTCATTCTAGTTCCAAATCTGGCACTAATTAGCTATGTAAGTAGGTTTAAACTCTCTGACCCTTAGTTTCCTCATTTGTTTAAAAAAATTAGCATTGGGGCAGAAGGTCTATAAAGTCCCTTCCAGCACTAAAATTCTATGATTCTAATGTTATTTGCCTAGAAATGTAAGCGCAAATGGTGATCTATTTAAAAATAAAAAAGAAATTAAAACACAAAACTTTCTTTGATAGTACTATCCCTATTCATAGGCATCTTAACCATTTGTCTCTATAGTTTTAACTAACCAATTCTTAAACAAACCTGTTAAAGAGCGCGCTGCTCCTCCCTGGTACTGAGGTATTCCTGTGTTTTGTCTCAAGTCAAACAGTAACCCTGAAGAATTATTAGGTACAACTTGTGATGAGCTCATTATGTAACCCTGATAAAACATTTTAAAAGGAGAATATTTACTTTAATTGAATCATTTTGTTTTTATCATCTTTACAGGTTTAAGTATAATTACATATTAACCACATAAACATATGGGTGACATAAGTTTTGACAATATATAAATTAAGCAATTACTGATTAAAAAAATCTACTGACATTAAAAACAAGCTCTAAATCATATGATCCTATCATTCAGATTTAGCTTATTCCTATAAAGGTAAATATTTACATAATATGATGTAAGCTTACCTAGGTTAAAAGAATCCTTTAGGATCATGCAAAATAAAATGAAATGTCCATATACACTTCAGAGAACTAGGGTAAAGTCAGTTACTTCAAAATTGGTATTAAAAAATAAACACAGTAGAAGGTACTAAAGAAAAAAATTAGACTTTAAAAGGAAGGCACAAAGAAGGTAACAATGTTTACTTTCACAAGTGAGCTCAACTATAACTAATAATAATACTTAATAATAATAATAATAATAATTTTTCAGTAGTCCTATATGTGTCAAACCTCTGCAGGGCCCTATTGGGCATATTTCCATATATGGGCCCTGGCATACCTTTTACATTGAACCAAAGAAATAGCTATTAGATTTTAATTTTAAACAATTTTGTTGTATGATTTTTCATTAAATCTTGTATGCAATTTCATGTACTGATTTTTTTCTCAAATGACTGAACATATGATGATTTCTCACAAGCTTACTGCAATTTCTCAAAGCAATAACTTGAGTTAAAATGAACTATATTAAAATGAACTTTTAATATTTTATGCCTAGGTAATATTTATAAATAAATCCTTTTATTGTTTAAGATAAGAATTGAAACTGCCCACCTAACACTTCTCCAATAACAAAAGCTTGTTTGCTTTACCAAATATTTAGCCTGTGATTATGCTAATTATACTTTACAGCTAAGTAAAATTAGGACCTCAATATTCAATATCATTCCTATTTAAATTAAGCACTCTATCTAATTTATTATAGGTTGGGCAATTACTACAGCCACTGGTATGAGTACCGATTTGACTATCATATAGAGGAGTACTATTTCTTGAAAATAGTTATGGTTATTACTAGGACTCTGCCAGTGCTGATAAACAAGAGGTCTCTGAAATGACTGACCTTCCAAAATACTTACAGGTTTAGATAATGGCTGAGCAACAGAACTAGCTGTGGATCTTGATATAGACTGAAAAACTGGTGAAGCTGCCACAGTATTTGATGTTGGAGTCATGTAGTGTTGACTGGTTGGCTTGAATGAAGCAACAGCACCTATATAATTTATAATATAGTGAAGCATTTTCATAATTGAATTACTTGTCTCATACTTTGTGCAAAAATTATGATAGCACAACAAAAAAATACCTCTATTGGTGGCGCCATTCTGTATTCCTCTTGATGATGAGCTGGGGTTGACTCTGTTCAAAATATCTATTAAGATTACAATAGTTAGGACCAATGTTTAATAGTTTCCTGTTTTGGGAAAATACTAGCTCTTACAACTAAGATGACAAATTTTGTAAGATACTCAATAAATGAACGTATCTTGCATCTGATAACTATTTCTTAAACATTTATTAACTTCATAATCTAGTATTTAAGAAACCTGACATTTCTAGCTTTAATATCTTCTTACACAAATGTTAATACTTGTAAGTCTCAACTTCATAACTCTTCATAGATGACATTCTATTTGGTTCAGGTTTTCAGACCAGCCTATACAAGTCTACTTAACTTATAATGAACCTTAAGTATAGTACTGCACTATAAAATTTAACCACTATGAGACAATGTTGTGTTGGGAAAATACATGAGGCTCCAATTCTGAACACCAAGAATAAATTTCCCCTGACTGTTACAATGGATGATGGAAGGTGAAAGGAAGCTGAGGAATGGGACCAAGGAACAAGGAACTATAAAGGCAAAATATCCTGAAGATATTTAACCCCTTTATTTTTTCTAAAGCTTTCAAAGACTGGTTCAAGTATATAGTCAATTGCTTCCCTTTCCACTGCCAATGTTGCTTCCAACAAAGATTCCTCTTCATTATATAGGTGTTTTATAATTTCTTTCCTACACTCTGTTCCCTAAAAGTACCAGTCAGGTCCTTTCAATGTCTTGTAAAGGACAATACTATGATGAATTATGGGAAAGAGGAAAGAAATGAAAAAATTTCCCCTCCTTTCACACAGATCTTCTAAGGAGAGTTATTAATGGAATCTTTCGGATATTCAATGGACAGCAATAAAATTCATTTATACTTTAAAGTAAAATCAAACTTAGGCCATGAAGGCATTTCATCCCAGTAGCCAGATTGAGTTCTGGGTACAAGGTAAAGGTAAAAGTAAAGAGATGGACCAAGGGCTAAGGCATGCTGTGGTAGAAGCAGAAGACAGAAAAAAAGAGGAATAGCTTTATTCCTCTCTTCCCTTGCTACCACCATTCCTGCAACTGCAGACTCTATAGTATATTGAGCCTAAGTAGAAGTAAGTAAGTGGCTGGAGCAGGGAAGAAGAGAGGCAGATCAAAGCTGTAGAGGGTTGAAAAAGGGAAGAAAAGTACATTTCAACAAGTTACAGAAGAGACGAAATGGTTGATCTAGATAGAAAACCTACAATAGCTAAATTTAGGGTCTGCCTGTATAGATCTATACCTTGAAATGGTATTTATTTACTTACTATGGAAACAGATTTCTCCACACACTAAAAACATCATAATTTTAAAAATTAGATCCCTAGGGTAAGGTTTCATCATCCTACAAAAGTTTTCATTATCAATTTAAAACTTCCAGGGAAATGAGCAACATGTCTTTTTTTTTTTTTTTAATTTTAGTTATAGGCCCTAAAAACTAGAATAATAACTATGATTTATAAATTCATCTATAACATACACATATTACACAATATTGTATCTCATAGTCAGAAATGTTGGTGTGTATTGCACTGCTGTTTGTATGCAACTCATATAGCTTACATATTCTAGAAATGAAGCTCATTTATAATGCTCACCAAGTACAACCCTGTGAGGTAAATATTACTATTATCCCTATTTTATAGCTGAGGAAGGTGTACCTGAGGTTAAATGACTTGCCCAGGGTCACGAAACTTTTAAGTGTCTGGGACTGATTTGAACTAGGATTTCTGTCTCCAAGTCTAATGTACTATATTTACTATACAAGGTTTACATAGAAAATCATAAAGATCTTTTTTATTTTGAGTAAGAAGTTCAGAAACAGTAATCCCACTAGGATATGTCAATTCTCACTTTGGTAAAATTAAACAAATCTTTCAGGTCCATACTGCTATCAACTATAAGGTATAATAATAGGATTTTAAAAGGAACATATAGAAGTTTTAATTTCAATTTTTATAACTGTAATCCAGAGAAATAAAAAGATGACAAATTGATGATGAAATATTAAAGGATATTCTTCCCAAATTACTTTATTAACTAACATTATGCCACCAAATACCTCTTTTTATAATCTAAGAAGCATTTTTTTTTGTCAACAAATCTAAGATGCTATAGTAAAATAGTGATCAATGCTTTCTCAACAGTTTTAAATCAGAACAAGATAAAATTACACCAATGTGTCCAGAAGCAAAATTAGTCTCTTGTCTCTGTCTAAGCATTGGCATAGTAACAGATATTCTTGAGTTCTACCAATTTGAAATGATCTTGTACATTAAATAGCTAAAAGAATTGTTTATTCTTTTTATTAAAAAATTTTGTATATATCATTTTTCTGTGTTGTTATATGGACAATTTTAACCATTGTGTCATATTTTTAACGTGATCTTGGGTAACTTGTATGAAAAGTTTCATCAACAAATCAAATGATCCATAGTAATTTAAAGTTAAAAGAACATTAAAATCTTCATAAACCAACAATGAAGAACTACTCTGCTCCTTACCCATAGATTTCCTTCCTTTCCTAGGCTTGCATGCATTTTAGTGAGGATACTCTAAAAATCCTATTATCAACATTTGTAATCAAGTTATTATGTCTATTAATACAGCAACATACCATTTAGTTTTTGGAAATTAGATCACAAAAATGAATCCTCCAAATTAAACGAACTTGAAAGAAATCTTTTTAGCATGATTATACACTACCTTGCCATCTTAAATAAGAGTATTCCAAACATACTTTAAGCTTTTCTTAAAGATTCAGAATCATTATAAATATCAATAATTAAATTTCAATTATCAATAATTCAAAATGTCTCTTGACTTTATCAGTGTGCACTCCTGTTGATATAGATGCTAACTCCTTGATACCTTAGTATGAGATATTATGGCCAAGAAAATTTCTGGTAGCCAATTTCACCAAGTCCAGTAAATCTAAGACAATCTTTTGCTAGGCTTTCTCCTCTTTATTTGTGGTGGACAATAAAACATTCTTTCCTTTCTTTCTTCTAGTGGGAAGAGGAATGACTAATAGTGTAGACTTGAAGTCAGGAAGTCTTGAGTCCAAATCTGGCCTCAGTCAACTTACTAGTTGTGTGACCCTAGACAACTCACTCACCCTCTGTATGCTTCAGTTGTCTTATCTGTGAAATGAGGATAATAATGGCACTTACTTACCAGGGTTGTTGTGAGGACCAAATGAGATAATATTTGTAAAGTGCTTTGCAATTCTTAAAGTACTATGTAAATGCTAGCTATTTTATTCTATTCTTTTTTTTGCTAATGGTTTTGGAAATTCTCTTAGCTTTGTGTCAAAATAGGCCTAACTGGGTCCAGGAAAGGTAATCTACTATCATCCTTCTTTCAAAATTAACTGTGTACTTCATATCTTTATGGTTACTGTTAAGGATTGTTTTTTCTCCTTAAAGAAAGTGTCTACATCATATGAGTATTGGCCTATAACAGATTTCAAAAGTGGTAGTCTTATTAATGGTGCTAACTCCAACTTAATCTTACTGAGTACTATAAAATTAAATAATCAAATTCATAAGAATTGTGCACAAAAACAATAATCCGGATTTGAGTGAGGTTCTTAAGACTTGTTTTATCAAGTCAAGTGCATGGGCTAACAACTATTTCAGATGCTTGGATATGCTTTTCATTAATTTTTGGTGTTCACAAGTAGTAAGCTAAGAATGGTTTTATATTTTAAAATAAAGTTTTACTGTATTTAAAAAATCTAAAAACTTTCCTAGCTCGCAGGCCAACCATAAAAGAGCAGCCAAAAATAGGCAGTGGACATAATTTGCCTAATTTGCCGACCACTGATATGGATGGCTTAGGTTGCTGAATGTTTTATATATGAAGAAGTGCACTGTTATTACAGTTTTACAATCCCTGAACTATTAAAAGACATTATTTTATCTACTAAATAGGATCTTCAGTGACTAACATGTTATCCCATTTCCCTTTCCCATATTTCCTTGTTTAAAAGTTAAAATGAAGTTTAAAAACTATTTTTCCAGACCCACTGGAAATCTCTGATATATACTTAAAATCTATATTAATGTTTTCTAGTTATAATGGTGACAATAAACCATACACTATTACATTAGAAAAAGATAAGAAAATGGCTTAATTTAATGCATAAAGTGAGTCAAACACGAATTCTTAGCTTCCAGATTTATAATCAAATACTGCCTTACTATAGGCACTGCTATGACTTCTTTTCATATGCAATACTTTGCAAAATTTAACTTTTTGAAAGTGAATTCTTACTTGAAATGGCTGGTTTTGAACTTGCAATCTCCCCAACAAAGATTGGCTCATCATCATCATCATCATCATCATCATCATCCTCAACTTCTTTTACTTTCTTCTGCCATGGTTCTAGCTCTTCTTCTTCACACTCCATAAATAGTTCAGCCATTTTAAAATTATCTAATAAAACAGGTATAGATTTTGAAAGCATATTTCTTTTCAAAAAATGAAAGGTTATATAAATGTAAAAAGATATAATATGTTTAGAAACAATAATTTTAAGAGGACATGCAAAAAAGAAGACCTGAAAATTCCATTTTAAATTAAAAATCCAAAAAATTTCATCCAATGCAAAAGTCAAGATATAATGGTAGTATCCTGGGCAAATACTACATGATTATCATTATACCTTCCATCTATGGGAAGGACTTCCACTTAATCAGTATCATATATTTTCTCTTCTAAATTATGTCACCTTGCTCTTCAAAAAATTCGAATGACTAAAAGGTATTTTAATTTATGCTGGACTATTAACATCCTATATACTTCTGTTTATTTTATGTTTTATGTTCATGCTGCTTCTCTCATCTGGAAAACTCTCCTCCTTTCCTTCTGCCTACTCAAATACTATTCAAAATTCAGGTCTGGTCTTACATCACCCATGAAAAGCCTTTTCCAACTACTTCAGCCAACAAATGATTTTTCCTTATGACCATTACTGCACTCATGGTTTGTACTACTCAACTCAAAACTTAATTACATAAAGTTGTATACTGTTTGCTAATTACTTTGATTGTATAAGTTTTATCTCCCCAAACAGACTGTAAGCTCCCTTTGTTAATTCTTATTGCCATAGGCTGGAACCTAACTCAATACTAGGTGTACAACAGATACTCAATAATACTGCATCTGATTAATTATTCAGATAATTAGGCAAAATTAAAGTCTCAGCCAATGCCATATCTAGAAATTACCCCATGAACCTAATTAAAGATTACCAACAGCATAGTAGTAGCAGCTACAACACCACTTACCTTTAGGGTGGAGAGGGTTGTCACCCATCAAGTTCCAGAGCTAACTTTCTGTAAAATGTCCCCCAAATGACAAACATCAGTATGTATTGTATGTCATTTGATTCATGCCAATTAAAACACGGAACTGGGAATTCAGAAGTCCTCAGGTCTAACTCTCACCTCCATGAAACTCACTGTACGATGTCAGACAAGTCAATAAATCTTGGTTTTCCTGTCTGTAAAAGAGATAAAGCCATTAAAATGCATTTGATTTAAATAAAATTCTAGTCCCTAAGGTTCACTTTAATAGAAGCTTTATCTACATTACTTGTTTTATATATATATATGCATATACACTATTTACTGAAATGAGTTCCTGATAATCATCTCACATACACGAAATATTTTACTGTGGTAAAAAACTTATTTAAATAAAGCAAATCAAGGAAACCTTGAACAAAGAATAAAAACCTGATTTATCTATTTGGTAAATTCATTCCCCTTTCATTCTTTATTCCTCCTACCCTCCCAACTCCCACCAGAAGAAAGGGATGAAAATGATACTTTTCAAAGGTTGCCACCATTGTTGTAACACATCTATCAATACACAGAGAAGCCAAATTTGGAAGGCAAGATTAGTAATGGAATGTGAATTACACTGATAGAAGCTCACTAAATTAACTTTCCAGATTTTCCCTACGCTTAGAAGAAAAATTCAACAAAATTTAACAAGTAGCTATGATGTTCATGGCACTAGACTATGTGTGAATTAAGGATAGTACAGTGAAGGATGGGGACAGCTAATTAATCACCTTGTAGAAGTTACAAAACTCCATTATCTCTCTGCCAATGAAATGCCTATGTGCCCTTTTTCTCCAGTGTCAATTATTCCACAAGTGATTTTCAGAGAGGGGACATCCATTGTCTAATTTCCCTGCCTATTTTTAAAAGTACTTTCCTTTTCTCAAGTTAAATTGAAATAAGATTTGATTTTAGAATTCTATAACACTTTCTGAGTTAGATGGTAACAACACAAAATATGACAAAACCCAGGTAATTACTCCCTGTGAATGATACTATAATAACTGGTTTATATATTAAACTTTGGTTTACATATTTAATTTACTATAAATCAATATCAACAGCTTTCTTGATAGAACTAGATGAATAATGAAGTATATGAAAAATAAGTGGGTCAGAATATCTTATCAGGGTTCCCTGATAATAACAGCTAGTAAAGTTGGTCTTTCACTCAGACTTGAAAACGTATTGTAAATTACTTATTCCCCTAAACTATCTGGTACTGGGCACAAAAAAAAGAGAGAGAAGTAGATCAGCAGAATAGATAGAGAACATATATCAACCAAACATACACAAAAGTACGTACAGAAAATAAGACCCAGGAAAATGGTTTACTATTTAACAAATGAACTTTGGGGAATTGGGCAATAATTAGATGGTAAATAAATTGAGACCCACTCATAACAGTGTACATTTAAGTGAGTTTCTGCTGGATGACAGACTTAAATATAGAAAAAGAAACTATAAAAGGGATGAAATTAAATGAAATATGGTAGTCAGATAAAGAACTATGGAATCGGAATGCAGATTGAAGCATACTATTTGCTCTTTTTTTTCTCTTCTATTTTGTTTTGTTTCTTCTTTCTTGTGGTTCCTCCTATTGTTCTAATTCTTAGTTTCCTCAACTGGAAAAAAAAAAAAGGATATGAGATGGACTCTCAAGTCCCTTTCAGCCCTAAATCTATGATCCAGCAAAAGAAAATGAAGTGGGGACAGACAGGTTATGAGAAGAACACAGAAAACAATGTCACAAAGATCCAAAGGACAAAGTATCCAAGAAAAGAGGGTGTCCAAGGGAAATGGTATAAAGAGGTAAAGAAAGATGAGAATTAAGAAAAGACCACAGGATTTTTAAAGACACCACAGGTATTATTTAGAGAGAAAGGTTTCAGAAGAATGACACAGTCTGCACATCTATCTAAATACCACTATAAATATACTTCTAAGTAATATCAGACCAAAAAAAAAAATCTCATGGTGAGGAATTTAAAATTCTTTAGAACTAATATTTTGATGAATAAGAAGATTTTAGTTATGTTATTTCTGGCAATAAACAGATCTCAAATTCTATCTGTAGAGACATTTCCATTTAACCTGTCATGTTTTTAGATTCTTTATAGCAAAGAGCTATAGAAAGAATAACCCTGAAAAGCTAATGAAACAAAATCCCACAAAAAACATAACCCAAGTAAATCATATGGCTGTAATTAAATAACACTGTCAAGTCCTGTACTACTAAAATGACAAACAACAAAACAAATAACCAATTAAAAAACTTCAATGTATAGCAACTAATATTTGGGATAACTTAGTGTCTCCTACAATTTCCAACATGGAAAAGAAGAGCTATAGTTCACAATATATAAAACATTTCTTTTTTCTCCTAATACTAGGAGTTATAAATATTAAATAAGTAGTTCACTGAATGGGCCCCAGGCTTCACGGATAAGAGGAATAGATAGGGCAAGTTTGAATAATCTGGTATCCTGCCTATTTCCCAATTTTTCAATACCCTGTAAAGATAACGTATTAATAAGCACAGGGAACAAAATAAACAAATGAATGGCAAAACAAAAATACCTAACCCGGAATATGAAATGGTCTCAAGTAACTTTTAATATGACACTGCCATGTATCAAACTGCTATATCTAGTTTTTCTTTCTCACAACAGTTGTAATGGGGGTAGGTAGGTGGGGAGAGGTAACGGACCCAACTCCTCACAATCCTTTAAATTCAAATGATACATGACCTAGACATAAAGAGAGCTATTACAAGAAAATCTGAAGAACACAGAACATATTACCTATCAGACTTATGGATAGACAAACAATTTACGAATAAGCTAGAGATAGAGAGCAGAGGGAAGTGTGAAATGGATTATTAAATTAAATTGAAAAGATTTTGTACAAATCAAACAAATGTAGGCAAGATCAAAAGGAAAGCAGAAAATTGGGAAAAAAAATTTATAGACAGATTCTCAGATAAAGGTCTCATATCTCAAATATATAAAAAACTTTGTCAAATCTATAAGAATATAAGTCATTCTCCAAATGATAAATGGTCAAAGGATGTGAACAGGCAGTTTTCCAATGAAGAAATCAAGACAATTTATAGTCATATGGAAAAAATGCTCCCAATCATTACTGATTAGAGAAATAAAAATTAAAACAACTTTGAGATATCATTTTACATCTACTAGATTGCCTAAAATGATTGGAGGGGAGAATGACAAATGTTGGAGGGGATGTGGAAAAACTGGGACACTAATTCAATGTTGGTGGAACTGATCCAGCCATTTTGGAGAGCAATCTCGGATTATGCCCAAAGAGTTATTAAGCTGCTCATACCTTTTGACCCAGCAATACTACTACTAGGTCTGTTCCCCAAAATGATTACAGAAAAAGGAAAATAACCAATATGTTCTAAAAAATTTACAGCAGCTCTCTTTGTGGTGGCAAAGAACTGGAAATTGTGGGGATGCCCATCAATTGGGGAATAGCTGAACAAGTTGTGGTATATGCTCATGATGGAATACTACTGTTATAAGAAATGATGAGCTCAATGATCTTAGATAAAGAAGGACAGACTTGCACAAAATAATGAAGAGTAAAATGAGCAGAACCAAGAGAATGTTGCATACAGTAACAGCGATACCGTTTCAAAAACAACTTTGAGTGACTAAGTCATTTTGACTGTTATAAACACCCAAATTAACTACAAAGAATATATGAAGAAAGATGCTATTTGCATCCAAAGAAAGAACTGGTATAGAAGTATGTATAGAATGGTTTTACATAGATATACATATCTGTGTCTAATGGTAGCCATGGGGGGTGGTGAGGGTGGAAGAATAAAAAGGAAAAAAGTTACATGATACCTTTATTACATATTTAAAAGGAATAGGAAGTTGTACATAATAAATTTGCAGTTTCATGAACAATCATCTTTTTTTTCCTATTCTATGTTAGGAAATGTTTGTTTTATTTCTTAAGAATAAAATAAACAAAATTTTAGAAATAGAAAAGAAAATTAAATAAATTCAAGTTGCCTTCTCTCCCTGTAAATATCATTCAAAACTGGTCCATAACCCCAGATATAGCAGTGGCATAAAAATGTTTCTCAAACAGTAGCCCCAACTCTGAGATTCAACCCACTGAGTACTTGATTCTAATTAATTCCCATAGGCCAAAATAAAGCAAACTATCACCAGCAGCTAGGTAAACACTAGACTTTTCAAGCCCTGATGATGAACATAAGGTATAATAAAAAGGCTATCCTTGGAAAATAAAGTTACATTTTTTAAAAAGTGGAATTCTATAGAAAAAGCACATAATTTAGAAGCATGGCAGGATTTAGATGAACTGATACAAAGTGAAGCAGAACCAGGAAAACAACATATATGATGACAACGGAAATGGAAACGGAAATGGAAAGAATAGCCCAAAACAAAATAAACTCCAACCAAACACAAAAAATAAACACCATCAAAACTTAATCCTACATAGTAGAAACACTACATATAACATTAGATATTTAAATTATGTTGATGTTGTTGCATTTCCCCCCCTCATTTTTATTCTTTAAGAGATGGTTCTCTAAGAGAGGAAGGGAAGAAAGAGAGGAAAGAAAAACTATTTATCGTCTACTATTTGCCAAGTGCTGTGCTAAGTATTTTATAAATACTGCTCATTTGATACTCACAAAAACCCTGTGAGGTAGGTGCAATTATTATCCCCATTTTACAATTTAGGAAACTGAGGCAGTGACTTGCCCAAGGTCACACAGCTAGTAGGTGTCTGAGGCCAGATTTTAATTCAAATGTTCCAGACTACAGGCCCATCACTTTATTCACTTTGACCCAGCTTGCTGCTTCTCAGGGCAAAAAAGAAATAAGGAAATGTAGGTAATATAAAAACAGAACACAAACTGATACAAAACAAAGTAAAAGGAAACAGGAAAATAATATGTATGACTACAATAACATAAGTGGGAATAATAATAATAAAAACACAACTTTTTGCCGTTATTACCAAGCTTGACCCCAGGATGAGGCGAGAAAATATATCTTTTTCTTGGCAGAAGTAAAGGATATACTATCAGACCTGGTTGATACAGTAGTTTTTCTGAACTGCTTCCCCTCTTCCCCTTCCCCTT